ATGATCAAGCCTTTGAAAATCTTGGTACAAGAAATAGCTTCATAGGTCAGGAGTCAGCCTGCAGTGAAGACTGGTTCATGAAGGTTGATGGTGGGATATGTTAGAGATCTACTGAATTATAACTGGCATGGAGAAGGTGAAAAGGGAGGTGTTGTTCACCCCTGCAAGTGTGAGAGGGCATTGAACAGAAAGTGGCAAGCAGCCATGAGAATACAGATGGATAATTTTTCTCCACCAGTGCCAGGCAGGGAAAGTGATAGTCATGGAATGAGAGCTACTAAAAACCAAATACATAAATAAAATTCTTTCCCTTCCCACACAGTAGAGGAATACAAGAAGCGGGAATGAAGGTCACTGTGACCAAGACTAACCAGGTGTCTGCCTTCTTCAAATTACAGAGGGGGAAAAAAAAGAGAAGTGGACGTTTTCAGGGTTGCTACTACTTTTTAGTGCTGTTTTAAATCTGTCTGCAGACCACAAATTGGAATTCCTGGGCAAGGCAGAAAAGACTGTCCTAGTGATATGACAGACTCCCCAGCTCCATGTCCAATATAATTCCTAAGGAATGGTGTCCCTTGTCCATGGAGAAGGGTCATCGTAAACATGATGTCCATCTTGGGGGTGGGTAGACACAGTAATCCTGTATACTGAGTGTTGTGCCCCGTTAGAAACTAAATACATGAAATACATTTTGGGCATTCAGTTTTAATTGAGTGCTTTCTGTCTTGTCTTTGCCAAAGGACTATCTGAAGCAGGCAGTTTTTGTCTTATACTCCATTTTTGCTGCCATGTGGCCATCTGTGAGGCCAATGGAGTAGGCAGAGATGAATCTGAATGGGAAAAAATAGCTGCTAATTTTAAGGTGAACCAGTTTACTTTCATTGGCACACGAGCATCTGTGATGTGAAGCAGTAATGTCTGATGCTGGGAGGATGGGAATGCTGCTTTTGTGTCAGTGCCAGTTTATGCTGTTTTAAAATTACAGCTTAAGAGCCTAATTTTCACTAGTTTTGAAAGTGCTACATTTGTAACAAAATTTACAGGCTATAGAGGTGGCTCAGTTACAAAGTCCGTCGAGATTTCTAGAGCAAAAGACTTATTAAAAATAATTTCAAGTTGCTGGTTAAAAAAATAAGTTTGGGCCAATATTACATGCTTATTGTCTGACTCTGTAGATGCTATTATTTAAAAAAATTGAATTTTGCAGCCTATTAAAATGTTTGATTTTTCTATGTGTCAAAGAATGGATAGTGTTGCTTTCTGCTTTTATCATTAACACTATCTGAACTGCTATGGACATTAGACTCAAATAATATGCTTTAAAAATTCAAACTGTTCCAGTTTTGATCTTTGAAAAAGGAGTGTGTACTACTACGGACCTGCACTTGTGTGTGCCATGGGTTATGGTGAGTATATTCCACATATCGTGTAAGTAGCATACCACTGATACAGCATGTGAGACTTCACATATGATCTCATGTTTCAGCCATTCCTCAAGCATTGGCAGAAAAAAGGCTGACCTGAAGATGTTCCCTGAGGGACAGCTATTGCATTATTGGTCAGAAGTCTCTTCATAGGGAACATTGGTTCCTTACACATCAGTGGTCACTGCTTTGATGATTTAATGAACTGATTGTTCAATGTAAAGCAATTCAGAGAGATCTGGTTTTGTACTTCTGCAGCAAGAATGTCAAAAGCTGGTTGAGGGAACATTCTGGCTAATCTGCCTTGTTTTCAGACCTCTGCTGGCATGATGTTGGCCTAGGCTTTCACAGTGAAGTTTGAAATATGACACCTAAGAGCTGTGCTCCAACAGGTGCTCCAGCAGCAAGTCCCACTGCAGGGACAGTGATGGACAGCAAACAGTGGGTAACAGCAGTGCCAGTGCTGCTTGTGCAGGCAGGCTTACTGAGATAGAAAGTGCATTTTCTTTGTCTTTCTGGTCTTTGGAAGTGGGCAAGCCTTCCAGAAATCTGTGCAGTCTTGGAGTGGTCCTCCTCCTTTACGAAGGAAATGGCAAATGTTGATCATTGAGCTCGGGGATTCATCCAACATCACCTGCAGGGATGTAGGATTTGGACTGAGCTCTCCCAGGTCCCAGTGATCTTCCTCATCTCTGAGACATCCTCCTGACTTAAAGACTGCCAAGATCGCTTTGTCCTTTCCCCAGGTGAAATGCCTGGCCCACTTATAGTTGCCTCCAGAGCCTTTGATATTCTTTCTGGCATTTTTCTCATCTTTGCCATCCCTTCATAGTGGCCACTGAGCAGAATCCTTGCAGACAAGCAGAATGATAGTCAAGAAATTGGAGGGAGATGTAGAAAAAAAATGCAGTTCATTCTCTCTTTTTTTTCAGACTGTACAGGCATCTTGGAATGCCCAGTGCTAATCACCTTGTCTTATTGTTATGACATGACTGTTTATCATTGAATTGTGCAATAGCTATAGGAAAAGTTCTGTATTCATTTTTTCCTGTATAACCACTTTGTCAAATTTGCACTCATCTAATGTAAGTGTATACAGTGTCTCACGTGATAATTTGTGTCCCACTGATTATAACAAAGTCTGGAGGACTAGATCACATATAGATATATCTATAGTTAAGTAGGACAGTTATTACCCATCATATATGATAGGTTCTGACACCATTAATGCTTTGAGGGCTCAAAGAAAGCTTTCAAGGGAATTAAATTTACCTTAAAATCCACTAATGTTATAATCCATACCAAAATAAGCCCTTGGTTTGAATGCAGAGAGTAATAATACTGATAATTATCATTGTCCTGTACTTCTACAAATTATCTGATAATAGAAGTTTGATGTGCTTTATTTGGGAATTTAATTGTCACTGTACCCATTTTACAGATGGCGAAACTATAGCACAGTTTGTGAAACACATCTAATTAAACTGAAAAGAATGGGTATCCCTTTATACAGTCTTGATAAAAAAGGTTACTTTTTACTTTATTTAGTTAACTGCAGTGTTTAGGATTCCAAATACTCTTAAGTGTAATTTGGAGTCTGCAGATGTTGTTAAGCTGTCATTCTTACATTGTAGAATGACTCCTGTCTAAAAGAAGGGACTGCCCTTTCTTCCCCTGTCAAGCTTATGGAGAAAAAGGAAAGTTTACACTCAGCTTAACAAAAAACTGCATGAAGCAGTATTGAAAGTATTTTGGTTTTTTGCTTTGGAAGACTGTTTTTTAATCAATTCCTTGGATCAGAAATGGGTTAGTTGCATTTATCTGGGGTAATGTAGCATATCTGACATTTATTTGGTTGATTAGCCATGAATAACTGTAATTTTATTGAGTCCTACAATGTTCAATATTAGACTTAAGCCCTCTCTTATAGCAGATACCAGTGTTTGAATATGCTAACAGAAATGTTTTTCTACTCCTTGAAGATAGAGTACTTAATGTAATTGGTAAATCAGATGATACCTAGCACTCCATTGTAATGCTCTACTTTACATGTAAATTATATTTTGAAGCACCATATTTTTTCCCAGTTGTGATTAATCCTTGAAATAAAAGGGGAGGAGGAAGCAGCTAGTTTATTTTTAATGATACATTCCTCCTTTGGGAAAGATTAACTATGTACAACTTCGTTGAGTTTAGCAATTTGCAGTGAATTGCTGAGTTGTCTGTGGAGACCAATTCTGTTCCTTCAGAAGAGTGTTTGTCAGATTACATCGTGCCCTCTTTCTTTAAAGGAAGTTAGTTGTTATATCTCTATCTGTGGCAAGAGATAGTAAGTTCCTTGGTAGTATTTGAACTTAAATAAATCTAGCATGTAAAACAAAGCTGTAACATGTTTGATAAATGGAAAAAAGAGAGAGAGAAGACATTACGCAAAGCATGCTCTTATTTTGTGTGGTTTTGGTTTGCATGTCAAAATTTCAGATTGTATTCAGTGTTGTGTGCTCTGTTTGCCCGTCACATGCCCTTAGCCTGTCTTTAGCATTGTTGATTGCCCTGCCTGCTTTTCCTGCTCTTTCCTTTTTCCAGATTGTATGTAGATACTAATGACTTGATAAATTTTGTTGGAAGACCTATTTGTTGTCTTCTGAACCTTTTAAGTCCCACAACAGAAAGTGGGAATGTGTGGTAACATCTAGCTTAATTGCTGTGAGTGGAAAAATATCAGTGCAGTGTTGGGGCTTCCTGTGGGAAAATACGATGATTCTTGCTACCTGAATCTATTTTCTGTATGGAGTCAGTAGAATGCACCTCACAAAAAGTTTCATATCTACTGGGGAAACAGGCACTTGGGAGCACTACTGGGCCCTTCCTTGGGAGTGGGAATGCCAGCAAAGTGCTGGAGCAGTGGTATGTAACAATGTGTGTGTGCTCAGAGATGCTGCAGCCTTTTCTAGGTTATTTGGTGAAAGCGCTTAATGGATAATCAAGGGCCACAACATCTGCATATTTGAATCAATTTAGCACGTTGTGCAGCAGTGTCATGGCCTTCCTTCATTCCAGCACAAGAAACAAAAAATGGTTTGCTAGCTGTGAGAATGCATGTTGATGTTCCTTCTCATGCCAGGTGTTGCACTATGTGTGTGATCTGCAGCCATGTGGTAGGTGGTTTGGTTTGTTAGTTTTTTGTTTTGGTTTTGTGGTTTTGGGGTTCTTTTTGCTACAACTGTACTGAGAGCTGGCATTTGAACAGGGGATGGTGATGAATGGAAATGCTCTCTATCCCTTTTACTAAAAACTATTGAAAATTAGTATTGTGGATGGGGGACTGATGGGAAATGACACACTCACCAACCAAAGGCTTGAACTTTTAGAAATAATAGTGTTTTTTTCCACTGAATGGAAGAATATTACAAATGTAAATAGACCTACTAACCTCTTTTCCCTTGCCTAGGTTTTGGCTATATATTTCACAACTATGAAAGTATTTCGATGTCAAGTGAATCATGTGAAGTGCAAAAGACAAATAACCTTTTTTTTCTCCCTCTCTCTTCCTCCCCACCTCTCCCAAAATTGCAGCCACAGGAATAAGTCTTCAGGCTGGCCTCACCCTTCAGGGACCTGGAGCTTGAACCAGGGGACACCTTATGGATGGGAGATGACGGCAAACAGAGATGGAAGAGATTACTTCATCAGGTAAGTGGGCAGTGTGAGCTGTGCAGTGTGTAGCACAGCTCTGCAGCCCTGCTCTTCACTGTATTGCCTTGGAATCTTAATTTCTGTTTCAGCCTTACGTGGTTAATGTTTAGTTGCTTTAATTTATGGCACAGGGATAGCTCAGACTGTACTTTGCTGTGCCTTGCTTTGGTACTTGGTTATTTCATTTACTCAAGAGAATGCTGGTAATATAAGGCCCTGTAATTCTTTGAGGAATTACAACAAAGGTCATTAAAAGAAAAAAAAAAAAGCCATGTTTAAAGCCATGTTTAAAGAATGAGGCAGACGATCAATTCTGATTGATCAATTATGATCCAATGACTGATACTTACACTCTCCATTTCTGCCATGTGAGGTCTTTTGATTTGTTTATTATATTCATTATAATGGTAATGAGAAAGTGTATATTTTGATCCTGCGTAGTAAATATTCAAATTCTTAGCTTTCCCGTAGTCCTTTAGCTCTGAATTTAAAGGTTTGCAAAATAAATGTCAATGCGGATGATGTAATTTTAAACAAAATTGACTTTTCTTTTGTCATTGAAAACTGTGCATAATTATTTAAAATCACTGGAGTGGCTTGGATACAATAAAGTTTGCTGTTCTAGCAAATGTATTCTTATGTAGCTTTGGAACTTCTTCACTGAAAAAGGTTAATGATAGTGAGTTAGCAGAACCATGGGCTGATTTGCATTCATTGCTTTAGCTTACATCCCATTCTTAAGGTTAGAATTTTCATACCATTCCTGTGAAGGTTTTTTTTTTTTAATTATGATTTAATTTTTGTCTTTATTAGCCTATTTAGAAACTTGCAGGTGCATGGAGAAGCCATGGATGAGAATTACGATTCTTTCATTTAACATGGAGTAGAAGCATCAGACTTATATTAAATTGAGAGTTTAAAGTCCTTAATTCTCTTAGGATCCTTCATCTGCAAAAAAAGAATTGTACAGCATAACAAAGAGGATCCCTGTTATTGTGTTTTCTCTTCCTACCCCTTTTGCCCAAGGAGCATGCCTTGGCTTCCTAAGAGATATTTGCTTTTGGAGCCAAACTGAGATTTGTAGCAGCCTGGTGACCTGCAGGCTTTCAACATTTAGAGCCATTTCAGACCAAATTGGAACAAGTTGTCTGGGTTAATGAGGGCTCAGAAGCTGACTTTGAAATGTAGTTTTCTTGTTTCAACTAGCATTTGTCATGCTTTGGGTGTCTGTAAGACTCTGGCTATAGGGCTGGACAGTGTGAATCTGAATGCCAGGCACAATATAAGTCTATTAACACAGGTTTTCTACCTCAGCTAATTAGGCTTAATAAGTCAATAAGTGTAGGTGAGCCTCCAAAGGACTGTGCAAATGAGAGACTGATGCTTTGGTTACTCAAGTTAGTGAAGGGAACATGTTTTCTGCAGGCTGTTGCTATGTTCTCCTCTGTGTGAAACAGATTCATCTGAAGAATTAATATCCTGCTTCTGAGGACAGGCACCACATTCGATTCTTCCTCTTTTCTCACTGGTCACATGATGGGGGGCTGCACTTGTTGTTTAGCTGTAAACAGCTGTGGTTTGCAAAATGCAGTGCGTTAGTATTCATTAATTTTGCAATTTGGGAATGTTTTCTAGCTCTCAGTAGCTAATGATTATTTTTTTTGTTTGTTTTTTTAATGCATTTTAATACCTTAAAGTGCCATATCCCTCTATTATATTGAGAAAACTGCACCTAGGAACAAAAATCCATGCCAGGGAGTGCCAAATTATGCACTAAGTAATATTAGGCTCATGGCTGTTTTGTTGTTGGGATTTTTTTTCCATGCTCTTACAAGGTGCTTGTTTTCCATTCTCTTTTGGGCTCTCGTCTTTCTTCCATTTTTCTCTGTATGTGGAGAGCAGACTATGTGCAAAAAATTAGTCTGCTTTAAGGGGTAAAGAGAATGAGGCCTCTGAGGAAGATGATCTGTAGAGGCCTTTGATGTTTTGTGCCAGACTTTATAACCCATCAGAATCTCTGAGCTGTTTCAGGTGCAAGTTGAACACCACTACATACCTTCATATTGTGTGATTGATTTATAGTACATATTCCTATATTAAATGTTTTAAAGCAACAGCATTGGCTATAGTGTGTGCACCAGGCGTGCCTCCAGAGTAGTAATGCACCTTACAATACATGACAGAACCCTATGGAGCATTAAAAGCCAGTACTTTTGGAAACAGAAATCAGGAAACCATTTGGAACCATGTACTGCTGCACCGAATCACCAGCTGTCCACCTTTACTAGTGAACATCAGCCCAGGTAGCTATTACGGTGTGACTGGGTAGTCACACGATGTATATCTTGGTTTTAGAAGAATGAGCAAAAATTAAATAGATCCAGTGACTTCGCCAGTGATTCCTCTGTGGAGATTTATAGTACCTGTCCTTACAGTTATTTGTCTGAGGAGAAGCTCTCTCTGGCTTTTGAAACAACTGCTTTTGCAAATACTACTTAAAAACAGGATTTAATTTTCTTTCCTTCATTTTTTACCCCTGGATTTTGGGAATGACATAGTGAGATGGTTGTTGACAGTTATGCCTATAAAGGCAGGAGAGAAATCAGCAAGAGAGCATTTCTTATTGTCTTTAAGGCTTTTTATAGCCATGCACATGAACGAATTGCATCACACTTAAAAAGCAATTCAAATACTTTGCTTGGTTTTGATTAAAGATGTATAAACCAGGTATTACCACAATGAAATGTGTGCATGGGTTCTGCACAAGGAAGTAACATAATTCATAGCAACATTAACTGCTTTTTAGTTAAATAATTTACTTTGGGCCATATGTACATTTCCATTCAACTGCAAGCAGACATATTGTAATTTTGAAATTGTGGGAGGAATAGAGAATCCAGGAGAATCTTTTGGTGAAGTGAAAGGCAATTATATAGCGTCGGTGCAAGGGCTTTAAGGCATGAATGGGAAGAGATGTTTATTCTTTCTCCTGAAGCAAATTTGATTTCTTTGAAATCTCTGAAAGCCCTTATGACATGAGCTAATCAGAGGTAACTTCCATTGCCAGGCAGTGCTTTTGTAAAAGTGTGAAAAGAATCTCTTATCAAAATATTTTCAGATGTTGCCATCAATGCATTATCTCTCCTTTACAGATGGCACAACCAGAGTCATTTTGCAAACCTCTAAAATACTTTTTCTTAGGTTTAGGCCATGGCAAAATAAAGTTTCAGAACTTCACCCATTCCCTTTTAGCTTACCACTTTTACTTGAAATAACCTTATGAGAAAAGTAATGCATTTCAGTTTAGGAGGGTGCAATCATCTAGTATTCTTTCAGCATGTTTCTGTACTGCACGAGCTGTATTAAGGTGGACCTTTAATATGAAATAATTTGAAAATGGTATATTTAACCACTTTAAAGGCCTCTTTTATTTGCATTTATTACATATGCTGTGTAATATATGATTATGAGAAATCTGTTATGGTAATTTTAATAAAAACATGACACTTACTAAACATGGTTTTGGTGTCAATATAGGGTTTCAGGGAGATAACATGGGAAGCAGAAGGTTTTGACTGCTTTTCTCCACAAAAGGTTTAGCCTCATGGCAATTTTGACTCCTAATTTTTAGGAGCTATGATCTTATTGATTCTTGAACCTGTACAGTTTTGTCCTTTCCTTTGTGTCAGTCTTGCTGCTTGTCAGACCTGGAAATAAGTTGACAGAGGGAAATAAACTGGCAAAAGCTAATAAAACATCAGTCTTATGGAGAAAGCAAGGAATTTTATGTCATCTTAGCTCCCCGAGCCAGTCCTTTGCGTGATCTGAAGTTGCACCATAGTTTAGTACGGAAGAATCCTCTGAATGTCAGCCTGCCCAGCCTTCTGCTCAGAGCATGGCTAATGCCAGCTGATGAGCAGCATTGCTGCCACACTGAAATATGTGATTGATTTTGGAACAGAGTTGCAACAGAGTTGTGCTGGCTTAAGCTTCCCTGCAACTGCACCTTAAGGTGCGAGTTGAAGTAACTCTTGCTGTCTTCAAAAGTCATACCTTTTGGATTCCTATTGCTGTTTAATTCCTAAGGAATAAGGTATTTTGGTATTTTTGTGGATCTGGTTTCTGTCATTCAAATAAAAAACAGAGAATGCAAAGGTGGGGTTTCTCAAGGCTTAGTATTGGGTCCAATCCTGTTTAATATCTTTATTGATGATTGATATGGCATGAGGAGATCGAGTATACTGTCAATAAGTTTGCAGATGACACCAAGGAGGGTGGGAGTGTTGATCTGCTGGAGGATAGGAGGGCTCTGCAGAGGGATCTGGACAGGCTGGATTGATTGATGGGCTGAGGCCATGAGTATGAGCTTCTGTTGAGGAATACATTCACTGCAGATAGCTTGGTAGACTGCAAGGGTATAAAAGCTCAGACTCTGCTGTGGGAAACCTGGGGTCTAGCTGGTAAGGAAACGTGGTCTGACTGTGTGAGTGGGGTGTGTGTAGCTGTAAAGGGGCCTTAGTCCCAGCTTAGGTGGTGTGAATGTGACTGCCAGAGTGACTCCTAGAAGGCTGGACAGAGAAGTTTCCTTAACAGTTCAGCAAGTCCAAGTTTCTGCATCCTGCACGTGGGTCCCAACAACCCCACACAGCACTACAGGCTTAGGGACAGTGGCTGAAAAGCAGACCAGCAGAAAAGGACCTGGGGATGCTGGGTAACAGCTTGCTGAACATGAGCCAGCAGTGTGCCCAGGTAGCCAAGAAGGCAAATCCCGGCTTATATCAGAAACAGTGTGGCCAGCAGGACCAAGGAAGTGATTGTCCCCTGTACTCAGCACTGGTGAGGCTGCATCTCAGACCCTGTGTTTATTTCTGGGCTCCTCACTACAGGAAAGACATTCAGGTGCTGGAGTGTGTCCAGAGAAGGGCAATGGAGCTGGTGAAGGGTCTAGAGAGTAAGTCATGTGAGGAACAGCTGAGGGAGCTGGGGTTGATTAGCCT